CCATACTCAGACACTTAGTTAATGAGTGCAGTCGACCCTCCCTATTTTTTTATCACCTCCATTCTCAGCGTTTCTTTATTCTTAGCGCTTTTAATTATATTAATAACATGTTCTTAGTGTCTCCTCTCGTGCTGTTTCTCCGTTACCTAACATTTGCCATATGACCACATGGCAAATACAATGAAAATGTTATATATCTCGTGCGTGCGCACAATGACATTTTCAGTCTGTGCACGTGTCGTTACAATAAGTGTGGGAAAGTGACAGAAAGTGTTAAGGAGAGAGAAATTGATTTTGACAAATGATTATGAGTTTTTCTTCTTGGAAAGTCTTGAAATCTTTGGTTTTTTTTGGTTAAATTATAACTTTTAACCAAAATCTGACGTCACAAACCTCTTTTGTAGCTCGCAAATTAATAGCAGACTGACTTGTGAAAACAAGTCAATTGCATTATAAGAATTGCTTCTCTAAAAATACGCGGAAGCCGAGCGAAAAAAAAGCGATACTGCTAAAAACAAGTAAAAAATGTAGGATATAGTTATTATAGTTTCTCATACAAACCTAGTTTTTGAAAACTTTACTTTGGATTAAAAAATTAATTCATATGTCGTCAAATTTTCCTCGACAGCAGCTATCAATATACATATGTATAAAGGTAGAACAATTTATAAAAAACATAAAAAAGATATTTTACACACAATCTTTTTAATAACTTGAATAATTTAACTAAATGGAACTTCATACTTTTTTACTTGTATGTTAATAGTCGTTGTTAAGATAAGTAATTGTACATATATAATTTATAATCGAAGCTTCCATGCTTAAGAAAATAAACAAAGATATAAATCTTTCCATTTCTAAAAGGTTACTAGTTTCAAAAATAAAACTAAATTTATCTCTGTATTATGTTCTTTCCGATTAGTAGCGGCGTATTACTTTGCATAAAAAGAACCGGTTGCTAAACAATTTCAATCCTTTTGAAAAAAAAACCGCGCAAGAATGCAAATTAATTCCTGTCCTAAACCTGAATACGTTACGATCGCGTAACTTGCGTACGAACGTAAATTAATGCATTTCCCACTGACGAAGATATGCGGGGTGATCGATCTCTCGCGTCAATTTCGCAAATTCCAGCGCGTTGCGGCGCGCGCGGAAAGGAAGGAGCGAAGGTAGGAAAAGCGGGCGAGTGAGAGCGAGAGAAGGAAGCTGCGAGCGGGAGAGATAGGGGAAGAGGGAGAAAGAGAAAGAAAGGGAGAGACGTAGAGGCGAGCAGATAGGAGCAGCGTACCTGCAATCTACCTGTATACTTCTCGACGCGTGACTCCAGTTGCTGATCGAACGCTCGAGAGATCGGTCTCGCGATAGATCTCACGGTTCCGCGACCTGCATACCTTCGCGAAAACGCGCGAAAAGGGGTGGATCGTGCAAATATCTTACGAGACATTTCATATTTCCGATTAGTATAATGCGTGGATTATGTGAGTCGAAGGAATCAGCAATGATAACACGCCGGTATGTTAATTCGCGACCTTTCCCGTGAGTCGTGGACCTTTGACTGAGAAAGTACGAGCGTACAACGAAGATTTGTCGTGCACGTGCGATAGAGCTGTCGTGTGATTTTCTCTACATTATAATTATATTGTTGTGCAAGATAATTGTACAATTGTATGAATTCAATCCGCGATTTACGATGAATGGCGATTGCGATTGTTTGGAAAAAGGAGAAGATATTACAGAATTGGAATTGGGGTCGATAGAATATCGGTGAGTTTAAATGCAACGCGAAAATTATCTATATCTTTGTATTATAGTATACGTAGCTTTATTTACTGTACGTGGAACAATTAAACGTGTGACAGTTGGCTCAATAACCCGAAGAAATTGTTCACGCCTGCACTGTGCATCTTGCACTATATTGATGTTAAAAAAACATATAAAGAAACATATATTTAAAGGAAAAATGCATATTACAGATGTATTGCATTGCGTATCTATAAATAAAGAGTAGGATCCATCAATCGATTTCGTTTATCCCTCTGCATTTAATCCTTAAACGGTCACTTCACTTTTTTTCATTAACAGTTATCTGGAGTGATTTTTACACTTCAATTAAAATGTTATTGTTATTAATTACATATTTGCATATTTTTTATTGTTCTATAATTTATTAGTATTTAAGGACAGTATGTATATAGATTTACTCAATATTTTTTGAAAAAAGTAAGAAAAAACAAAAAATATTTGAAAAAAAATAAGCACATTAAAATTACTGTAAGTGCGTGAACTTCATTTTTTGACACTGAGGTGTAAAAATCATCCCACGTGACCATTCCCGGATTAAAAGTCCGATATTATGGTAACATAATCAAAAAGTGTACAATTTACAAGATATTATTTTATATTACACTTAGATCATGTTTTAAATTAAAATATATTACCAAAACAAATATAATATCCCATAAAATATTCATTTTTCAATCGATCTCGTTTTTACATCTTTACATATAGACTAAGGATATTTTTAAAAATATAGAATTTTATCCCCAAAAATGAGAATAATCTTTGAATCTCGGAAATGATTCTATCTAAATCTAGACTAAAAAATATGCTGTCCATGATTAAAATTCCTCTCAAAAACAAACAACCTGCAATCTATTTGAAGTTTTTTTCCAAGAGACGTACTACTTTCAAATCATGTAGTTCGGAGTAATATTTTAAATGGAACACGCACATACATCGCGTGTAGCAAATGGAAGTCAGCGTGATATCAGTACAAATCTTTATTTGAATCGCAAAAAGGAGTAAAACGTGCTTTCTGGCCTCATAGAAAGCGGAAAGCAGAACTGAAAAGCATTGCGAGGTGTAAAAGGATTCCGCGAGCGCTGACCAGAGCGCTCCGGTGAATGTAATAATGATCTACGTCAAGCCCTCGAAACGCTTCGAGAAATGCCTCGCAGCCGTAAGAACGGTCCGTTACGTATGTTTATTCACGAGTACGAGAAGTGGAAGATTCGCGGCTAGAACGTTCACTATTTTAGATAATCAGCATTTACGATTAAATCCTCCATTTATCATGCATTAATGTTCTAAATTTCTGAAAATAAATATTGATATATGTAATTTGAAATTTTGTAAATACACATTTTATTTATATAATAAGAGGATTTTGAAAAATGTATACGTATTTATAAAATCTGTGGTTATATAATATCGAAAATTATTCTCCAAGAAATTCGCAAAATAGCATAACGTTACGTCTCGACATAAAATAGAATTAAATTTCGCGAAATATACACTCACTGAATTGATAATTTTGATATTTTCCGAGAATATTTTATTAAGATTTTATAAATATATAATACATATTTTATACCATCTAAATTTAATGGATCCATTAATTAGTAAAATCTGTAATATAATAGATAGCAGCCGTTCTATTGCACTAATATAAAATTAAAAATTCTTTTTATCGGATTTTATTTGACAGATTTTAACAATGTGTGCGTGTGTGTGTGTGTGTGTGTGTGTGTGTGTGTAATTAATCAGAAAGTTGTAATATTCTACAAATGAATCTGACCGTGACGATCATGAAATTGGAAATTCTTGATTTAACGCAACGGTTTATACGATACTTCTGCAAGCTCGCAAATTATCCCGTTCATTTCATACCGTCTGATGCCTTTCCCCATACAAGCGAGAGAATCTCATATAAGTTTCGAATAACGTCTCTCAAATGTCACTTGTCATCGCACTGAACAGAGAGATGATTGTTCGAGATAACTCCATGGTATATATGATGATCATAGCATTTCTAACAAATTAGCTTCTTTGCGCAAAAATAAAATAAAGAAAAATTATATACATATGCTTTAATTAACGTACGAATTTAATTAATATATATGTTGAAAAGTTGCGATGCGGTCTAGAAGATATCTTTGCAATGAGAAAAATAAAAAAAATCAATTTTTTGTACATATTTGTAATATATTTTTCTATCCTAATCATAAATAATCTGTTGCACTTTCCCTAATATTTAAATATAGGTATATCTAATTTATTATATAGCTATATATTATGTAATTGTAATATACAGCTATTTCACTTAACTTGACCAACTGAATGGCAATCTGCCATTAATAATCCCATACATTTTTCTTTTAAAAATATAAATTAATTAAAGCAGAATAAATTTATAAATTGAAATGAATAAAGTAAATAATAATTGGGTCGTTTATCAGGCTCATATTGACCTAAATTTTATTTATTAAATTAATTAAATTCGTATATAATTGAAACTGTGAGAGAATTGTGCTTCTATATATAGTTTGACACAAGAGCGTGTGACCGATTACACTCATACCATTGTTTAAAATTAAAATTTGTTTGTTGATAGTTTGAAAGATTATTAGATATATTCTCATGCTCTTACCATCTTAGTATGTATTTTATATCACGTATACGTACGCATGCACATACCAGAGTGTCATATTTATAATTCAAACTTGTAATTCTGAAAGTGAGTTTTATATTAAAAAATTGTAAAAACATTCAGAAATTATAATATAAGATATTTCAAGTGATAAAAAAAGTGAAACAACCTATGTTATAGCTATATATATCATGAAATAATGTAACAAATTTATGCTACTGATATTACACTTGTTTTGTTATTTGTCCCATTTAGAATTTTTAGAATTTTTGTTTTATTTCCAGATAATCGCGATCCTGCGCATACGTTGTCAGTCGCATCAGTGATTATCACGTTCAACCATCTGTTTTGGACTCTACGTAACAGTAATATTAATCCAAGTTATAATCAATCTCTATAACCCACGCAAATGATACAATCCAAATAATATAAAATGTTTTATCACTAACTTTACGTGATTTTAAAAAATATTTGAGAAGAAAAGCAAATTTATTAAAAATAATTCAAAATCGAATATTTATTTCTACCTATATATGAAATAAATATATAAGATACATAAAATCGAATCAAATTGAAAGAATGTGTGAACGAAGAAAATGTGATTAACGAGATCCTACACGAATATCCTTAATTGAATGAGCGCCACACAAAAATACACAAGACTATGCTCGAAATAATAGTCAACGAAGAAATTTGACAAGCAAATCGGAAAACGATTGTCACCGCAATTGAGACATTATCAGACTTCGAGTTTGATATTATCATAAAAGTCAATGATGTACTATTGATTTAAACGGGGAAAATCATGGAAGACACAGCGACGATCGTGCTTGATTCCACGGTGAGAAGTCAAAATTCGAGTCACTCGAAGGAATCGAAGGACTCGGTGAATTCAGAATTAAAGCCGGAAAGTTATCTAGAATCAAAACACTCGAAAGATGTCCTTATACCGGAAAAGCAACAGCAGCAGCATCAGCTATCAAGACGCGCCGAGGATCAGCAAGATCTACGAGCAGCTTCCGAAGCTAAGGACGATTCTAATCTGCTCATGTTCACGTCCTGCGGGCAATTGCTGCTTGGTAAGTCTCGACGCAAGAGAGTTCCCAATAATTTCACTAATTATTCACGCTAATATTATTGCTATTCCTTTTTGGCGAGATGTATATAATTGTGTCTTTCCGCGATAAATTTTGTTATGTATATTATATTGATTATTATATGTCAAACTTATTATAATAATGTCATAATATTATTAAAGTTAATCCTCCAAGAGTGAAGAAGATAATTGATTTATGCGCTTTTGCACTCAGGTATTGTCTTGGTCGTCTTTGGTATCCTGGTGCTCGTCCACGGTGCTTCTTTAGGTGGATCTGGCGCAGGACTCTGGGCAGGTGCAGCCGCTCTAGTTGCCGGTGCACTAGGAGTGGTCGCAACACTAGCAGCCTCGTCCACCAAAACAAATTCGGCTTTCTCGTCCGCTCATCTTGCGTCCAGTTTAATCGCTCTGGCCCTCTCGAATATGGCCACTATAACGGCATTAACGGCGGTCGTCAGAGATTCACAAAGGGCACCGGACATATCATTTCTCAGTCTTTCCGTATGTTCTTTATATCTATTTCTTGATTCAACCGTTTGAATCATTTCTAATAAATCGATTCTTTCCATTATTCTGCGTATAAAAGTATCAAAACATGTACTTAAAAAATGAATAATTTAGAAGATATCTCGATCTTTTTTTAACACATACCTCTTATTTGGTATTTATTATAAAATTAAACTCTATAACTGCTATTGTAAGGGTAAATATTATCTTATGGATTAAGAACTTCTCAATGTATGTTTCAGGGTGATGACAGCGATGTGATGGAAGTAGATAACGGCTTGGCGGGTTTGCTAGCGAGCATTGGCCTATTGGTCGCTAGTGTGGCAGAGCTATTAGTATCCGGTTATAGCTGCCTGACCTTGACACCGAAGCTATGTGGCTGCCTGCGGGCGAGCACCGCCGACGATATGATGGTCGACGGTCATCTGAAGACGCGCAATATGGTTCACCAGTGGGTCGTCACGCAAAATCATATGCCGGCCAAAAGTCAACAGCCACCTGTCTACGTGGTGCACTCGGTGCCAGTGCCAATGCATCCGATGATTCAGGTAAGCGCTTTCGGTCTCTTTTCCCACGACCTCAACCAAGACCTCAACAGCTGCAATTATTCCTCCTTGGGGTAGGGCACCCCTAAAAGCGCGACTTCTATTTACTTACGTATCTTTTTCTTCTCTTCTTTCATCCTATTGTCCATCTCTCTCTCTCCTCTCTTTTCTTATCCTCTTTGCTCTGCTCTAGATTTTTTCTTTCTACTCGTCACTTACTTTCTCTTCATTCCTTCTTAAGATGCCTGAGCATCTCTCCTCTTTTACCTTATATTCCGTTTATTGTATTTCAACATTTCTATCTTTTACATTCTTATCTTCTATTTCCTCTCCTTTATCTTTCTCTCAATTTCTCACACAATTTTCATCACAGTTTTTAAATCATCGAGTTTTTAAATGATATAGATAACTTTAAAAAAATGAACACCTGTTTCCAAATTTCTTAAAAAATATGTAACAAAGCTTCCTCTATGAGGAAGCAATAATTCAATATGTCATTTGTATATATTCAAATATAGTGATTAAAATAGAACAGAGTCTATACATAAAAAAATGAGCTTAATTACAGAAATAATATAAAAGATGTTTCGTGTTCATTACAGCCACCATACGGAATGCCATCGACGCCCGGAGGATTTGTACCTAGATCTCTTCCGATTTCGACAGCGATGCCATATGGTGCTGTGCCCATGTTGTCCCATATACCTCCATACGCTGGACGACCGCAATCTCAAATGGTAAATAATACCTCAGTAAATTAATAACTAAAATAATATACTTTAATGCAATTGTAATTCGTACGAAATAATAAAACTAAAACGTATAAATCGGCCTGACTGGCAATAATTTATCATCGTGACGATTCGACCATTGGTTTTGGTCCGATTAATCGTCAAGACGTTAATAACCTTTGATACTTATATGTATAAGCATCTCATTTAAATAATTTAAATTAAATTACATTATTAAATTTATTGCGAAAAATATTACCTCAGCCAGAATGAGGTAATATTAAATTATTAAATTTATTGCGAATAATATTATACCTCAGCCAGGATGAGATAATATTTTTCGCAATAAATTTAATAATGTAATTTAATTTAAATTATTTAAATGAGATGCTTATTATATATAAGTATTAAAGATTATTAACGTCTTGACGATTAATCGGACCAAAACCAATGGTCGAATCGTCACGATGATAAATGATTGCCAGTCAGGCCGATTCATACGTTTTAGTTTTAAAATAATATAGTATAATAAAAGACGTGAAAAATATCCTGCTAAAGAATGTGATTTAATAAAACGATCAAATTCGGTGATTGTTAATCTTATTATTTCGATGACAATAGATATTTAAATAAAAAATATAACTAAAGTGTGTAATAGTAGCGTTATAAACTTTTAGATCGCTCGACACACTTTTCGTATTTTAATTTGCTTGCAAATTATTTTGTTTATTAATTAATTCACTTAATCATCGTGAGCAATTGCTCATTTGTAATTAATATGTATTTGAATTTAGTTCCGATCAAAGCACAAACGTCAGCCGTTCGCAGATCAAGAGGAATCAAAAAGGCATTTTGAAGTTAAAAACGAATCTCCAAGGATGATGTCACCGACCTGCGAAGATCAAGTTGATCTGGCGCAGACTTACACGGGCTTGGACAAGAGAATTTCCGAAGAATTTATTTCGATCGCAATGGATCCAGACAGAAAGTCGAAGGTTTCCAGCCATCACGGCAGTGAAATTGGAACAACTTTTTAATAATTTTTACTAACAGTAATTGAAGAATTTGATACAAAAATGAAGCATTTGCTGATTTGCTCACGATTTATGTCTATCTTAGATACGATTTTGTATCTAAGATTGCAGATTTAAATCAATCCTGCATACTTGATTCAGTATTTCAATTTCAAACGTATTAAATTTCTATCTGTTAAATGTAACATCTCATTAAAATTATTGCTCTTGTTCTCAAGCATATATAAAGTGTAATGCAATTTTGAAAAGTGGAAACATCAAACCACGTCATTAACAAATAAAACTAATATAACATTTATTTCTTATCGCAAACATAATAAATGTGCGATTATCTGAAATTCTATTTGTAAAATTAATAACTATTTATAAATCTTTATACTCATTTCTTATCGTTTATCTTCTGTTATAACATAATTTATTTATTCTTAGTGCTTTTCAACGTAAAAAAAAAGGAAAAATAATTTATGCACAAACTATATATGTATAAACAATATAAAGATAAATATAAAGATTTGTAATAATACATATAATTTTATAAATAGAACTATATGTTCAGAATACTGTAACTTTTTCAGAAAAGACAAGCTCTGAATTTATGTAATTTTATCTAACACATGGACTCAGTCTTCCCATTCTGTTATATCTATATGTTTTCTACAATGTAAAATTATTTTAAAATAATATTTAGGTTTTATTAATAAAAATATTTATTTCTGTGCTATATAAAAATCTTCGTTTTTCTTTTTTTGTTTTTTTTTTTCAAATAATAAAAAATAAAGTGTGAGTTGTGCTGCATTAATTCGCTAAGCATAATTAGTGAGATAATGTTATATATAATTACAACACATATTCCTTCAAGTGTCTATTCATGTTATCTATTTCAGTTTTATTGAGATATTAAACGTTATTAATTTAAACTCATTATTGTATTGTACAGTTATAATTTCTTATTCATATTCTATGTTAATTTAACCGTAGCTTTTGTATATGCATATGTAATATATTTTGTTATGTAATATAACGTTATATGAAATATATAATACAAAATAAATTTTTATCTAAAATTACATCAAATTTTTATTTTTACTAAACACACGTCATAGATTGATATCCTGTATCCCTACCTATTCGTATTATAATCTATTATACAAAGATTTAATTAAAATCGCGACACGATTATAAGGGGTTTAATTTACTGGTTAATTCAGCGGGATATCTAATGAACGGGATGAACTCATTAAAAACATTTCTCATCTACTTACCGATCCGATGCGCAACGGGCGGAGTTATTCGGCCACGTAGCTACGGTGATACTGTAACATACAAACATAAAATTTAAATTAAAAAAGCGCTCAAAATAATCAACATTTCAAAAGTTAATTCTTACGCGCCTCTAATTCGTCTTTCAGTACAATATTTAGCAAATACAATTGTCTATTTACCGAAAAAAATCTTTACTAGAGTAAAATTTTAAATAATTTATCTTTCTTTAATTACTTTTAATTTATCGAAATAAAACACAATTCGAATAAATAAAAACAAATTATTAATTTTATACAAGAGACAACACTTACCCCAAGGTTGCTCCGCCGGTGCCCGATGCCTCTCCCAGGTCTCCTCCTCCTCTCAGGACGTCAGGCTCCTTCTCCTCTCACCGCACAGGACACTTGCGAGAAACACACCCGCGGATAAACTACAATCGCGCGCGGACTAATTATTAGTAAAAGTCTTTCTCGCGCGATACCGTCCGGCACTCCCGTTTAAAAAAAAAGCCCACGAGAAGAATATTCCGTCAAGTATATGCCGTAATATTCTTCAAATGAATTTTAAAAAAGTTCTTTAGTCCGATTACTTGAACGGCACTCCCGAAGCAAACGCGACGAACCGGCTGCGGTTCGTTCGTGCAATTAAATCGGCGAACGGAGGGTACGTTAGCTTCCCCGTCTTTGGATTTTTATCCAAGCAGAACAAGAATTTTGCTTATGGGTAAAATCTTCGTACTGGACCTTCCCACCTCGCCGAGGTCGTACCCATGGGAAGAAAGTTCTTTACTGCGAGATATAAAAGTATATTATAAAATCAAGTTATCGATATACAAATATGGATAGATAAGCTACAAAGAATTGGAATAAAATTGCCCCGATTCGTTCTGCGTTCATCACCGCGTTACTTTAATGGCGAGTGGCGACGAAATGTTCCAAAAGATGTCGGCAACTTGTCTCTCGATACTACGCGAATCGAGCGGACGATTAATATAAAGACACGCAGACGCAGTTTGGTTAATCAAAAATACTGAATCAGTGGAACGCCATGATACATCGCTCGTGAATGCTTCTCGTATATCTCGCGTCGCGTAAGTCGGATCAGCGACCGGCAGTCTCACGATTCTTCGTCGTGCAAATAATTAACATTATTAACAATGCAATTTTATAACTTTCGCGAAATTTACGAGTTCGATATTGTACGATATTGTTCGATATTATACGTGAGTAATTTAATTTCAATAGCGTACTCTGAAATTAAATATCACACGTGATATCATATCGAACTCGTAAATTTCGCCAAAGTAAAATTGCATTATTAATTTGCACGACGAAGAATCGTGACTGCCGGCCGCTGACTTACGCGACGCGAGATATGCGAGATTTTTGAAGCATTCACGGGCGATGTATCACGGCGCCGGCGTGCCATAACTCGAATCACTCGATACGGCAATATAACTCAGTAGTCCTCTTTTTCCGTACGAAGAGAATCAGAGATCGGAGACAACTCTCACACGACAATTCCGGCACAGCGCGCTCGAAGCACGGCACGAGACGAATGAACGCTACACATTCGAGTCCAGAATGTGTCGGGACGAGCGAGCGCCACGATTATCGCCCGCGAATATCACGACGAAAGCGATCGTTCGGAATTGCCGTACATACCATCGCCGACTGCGCCTCGACATCTCCACCTCGATGTCTCCGTCTCGAGCGAGCGATTATTCGCGCGATACGTTTATTCCGTACAAACACTTGACACACTCGCAAATTATTTAACGCGCACGTTACACGGCACGTACTTACTCGCGTAGGCGATTATTCTCGCGGCCCGCGAAACGAGGAGCAGGAGTGCCAATCGCAGGAACGATGAGCAACGAGCGCGTTCCGAATAAACATGGCACGGAGCACGAAGCACGAAGCACGAAGCACGGAGCACGGCGCGGCGGCGGCTCGGAGCGGCCGAACGTGATTGGCCAGATCTGGGGGCTCGACTCGCGTCCGACGTATCGTATCTCCCGATTCACTCGACCACAGCCGACTCGGCGGCGGCGGCGTACACAAGCAAGTAGTACGTAAACACGTCGAACGGTTGAACGTTGAACGGTGCGAGACGTCGCTCGTGTAATTTCTTTCTCGTAAACGAAAAGAAATCCGGTTACGGGGTGTCGCAAAGTGAACGTACGCCGAATATTCCGTTCCTTCGTGTGTCGAGTGAAACGAGTGGAATTTCGTCGCTGGGCGAGATAAACGCCGAGCGCCGTGCTAAACGCTGGACGTACGCCGTACGTGTCACGTGTCATTAGGTAAATTTCATTAACATTGAGAAACAAAATGTGACAAAACAGTCGGTTCTTATCTGATACAATCTTTCTGCTGTTGTATTGGCAGATTTTGTGCACGCGCCAGATACGGAATAGGTGAAGAGAGATACAAAGAGGATAATCAGCTGAAACTGTCAGAAGAATTTAAGACTAGCCTCCAAAACGATGTCAGCTGAAGAAAATTTTGAGCAGGTTAGATATTTACTTTTACTTTTCTTCCTACATAAATTTAAGTTCCATTTTATCATGTGAATGTAAATAAATCTGAGCATCTCACAAATTTCCTTGAAATTTACTTCAATGTGTATGTGTGTGTGTATACATTTATTTTTTTGGAGTATAATTTATATGTAAATAGAAACATTAATTAAAGGAAGTAATTAAATTAAAAAAGTATACCTTTTTTCAAAGAAATCTGGTTAGAAGCTTTAATTTTATACAGTAGACAATAAAATCTTACAAATAATTACTGAGATGTGACCGTCACAATCTTTTTTCTTACTATGTACTTATACCATGCTGCTTTGATAGTTCGAGGACGAAGAAACAGAGGTTCCAATTGGCGGGACTCTGCCCGGTGGAAGGAAACGTCTCTTCTCCAAGGAGCTGCGCTGTATGATGTATGGCTTCGGCGACGATCAGAATCCTTACACAGAAAGTGTCGACTTGTTGGAAGATTTGGTTATCGAATACATAACCGAGATGACACATCGAGCTATGGAGATTGGACGTACAGGACGTGTTCAAGTGGAAGATATTGTATTTTTAGGTAAGAATTACATATGCACGTTTTAAGTACATATTTAATTAAATAAATGTTTAAATTGTTTAAAGCTTTCTGCTTTCACACAGAAACTTACTGTCATATTGTACACTTTTCCAATTCTTAATTCGTTAATTTACTTGCAGTGAGAAAGGATGCCAGAAAGTATGCCAGAGTGAAAGATCTTTTAACGATGAACGAGGAACTTAAGAAAGCGAGAAAGGCTTTCGACGAAGTTAAATATGCAGGTACTGTCAAAGAGTAGACAATACAAATTGTAATGTTATATCCATCAACGAATGTAAAACTGAATGCGTATAAGTTTGTATTAATCTACTTGAGAATCTCTCGTTCGTTTACTTAAGTAATCTTTCAAATCAGCATGATCAAGTTGCAAGTAGTATTAATGCAATCTGTTTGGTCATATAATTGATCTGCATATGTACCTTGAGCGAAGCAAAGTATTGGTTTTTTATTATTTACATTTATTGCTGGGATAACGTCGCTTTATTTTGCAATAACATATAATTGTTCATAAGTAAACACCTGATTTACTGTCTTTTGTTACAGATAAATAGAAAAAATTTTTTATGTTTTTAATATAAATTATATAGTTGTACAAAAACGCAGTAGGCAGAGTAAAATTCAATAAATAAATAAATGATAAAATATTAAAATAATCTTGCACTACTGCGAAATATATAGTTTGATAAAAATATAATGAAAAAAAAAGAGGCGACTGGTTTCAAGAAGCGCCTTTTCTATATTATGTAACAAAGAAAACAGTTTCTCTGGCTATCTCTTAGGAAGATTTTATATACTTTATATATTCATATTTTAAATGAAGTTACATTATATTGCTATAATAAACTATATACTGTACGTTTAATACAAATATAACTCTATGCAAAACACATTTTGCTGCTCCTATTTTTGTATGTCACATATTTTCACGTAGCAAAATAGTTATTTACTACTATTATCATTTAAATTGTGGACTGTTTTATCCAGAGATCGTTTACATTTTCATTTTAACTTTATAACAGAATTTTGTGCATGGTTTGCGTGATTCAGCATGTCAAACAGCGTTTGCATGTAGTTTCATTTATTTTGTATGCTGTTATTTTGTCTCCTACGGGTTTTACACGAATCAAGCGATTCTGCAATTATTTTACAACGTCACGAACGGCCTGTTTTGCTGACAGAATAACGTCATTGAGTCCTACACCTTGGTAAGAAGAACCGCACAGCGCCAGGGGAATATGGTGCGCGGAAATGTAATCGTGGATGCGTTTTACACGTGCGGTATGACCGACGACGTGCTGCGGAATACAGTCCTTGAGAACGGCAACGTTGTGGGCGACTGGTTCCTCTTCGATTTGTAAGATATTCCTGGTGTGATTAATCGCCGTCGTTAACAATTGCTCCTCCGACGGATTTGGCCCGAAATATTTCTCGAACCACGCACCTCCCATCATTACCGTCAACACCTAAATCATGGTCACAACACGTAATTTATTATCATTAAGTGAAAGAATTTTTCTTACACGTTAATTTATAATGCTCACAGTTTTGTATATATAGAAATAAAAGTTATATATTAGAAATAAAGATTGTGAATTATGCCGTAAGTGAATCAACTAAGAAACTAAACGACCTGAGCGGACAATAAAATCGTTCCGAGATACACACGTACCGTGGAAGACTCGGGGAATATGCAGGAGTCGAAGATCACCCCTAGCAGAGGTAAATTTTCCTTCGGCGGTACGAGGAAGCCGAACGCCTGCAGAAGCAGTACATTTCCCTGGAATTCAAGATTAACCACTCCCACCGTTACGGTAGGTATCGCTTTAAGTTCCGCTGACAGTCCAGGATGTTGCTCGCGCAACAGCTCGGCCAGGTCCTTCGCGCCCAAGCTCGAGATAACGCGCGAGCATTCCTGAGGCTCGCCATTGACCGACAGTTCCACGCGATCCGATTTAAACGTAAGCTTTTCGCACCTCTTCTCAGTCTGTATCCGCGCTCCTCGTTCCTTCACGTTATCGGCCAGTGCCCGAGGCAATTGCTCGAGTCCTCCCCGCAAGCCCCACAGTATCCATCTCTCCTTTTGTGCTTTCTCCACCAAAGTCAACGATCCGACCGCGGACTCATGATCCGCATTATCCTTCGCTGCGTCAGCTTTGTCTTTTGATTTTGCAAAGATTCTTTTCATCAGCAAGCCTTTCATTATGGAGCCGTGTTTCTGTTCCGCTTCGAACAGCGATTTGAGCAGAAAGTTAACGCTTATCTCGCGGGCATCGCCCGCACAGATCCCACAGATCATGGGGCTGATGATGTTGTCCGCAATATCCTGGCCCAATCTTCTTTGGACGAAACTATAAATGCTCTCGTCCTCCATAGACACCTTGGGAGCCCTCAAGTCCGTCCATATGCGGTTGATCAAGGGACGATCTAGCAGCGAGGACGTCTTGAAGATACCCTTCAAAGAATTTGGCAGACGATGCAGCGCCTCGTCCATGTAAATCAATCGATTCGACGCCACAGGGTGGCTTATTCCAATGTAAACTAATTTGTCGTTCAATTGCAGGTCATCTATCAGATTAAGGGTGTTTTTCCCACCTTCGCCAAGTGTTCTTACGGTTCTTGGTCCTTGCTCGAAAATCGCTCCGCTAGGCGAGCTTCTGCTACGTATCCACCCACCCACGCGACTGGAAGCCTCCAGTAAAATGATAGACGATAGTTTCGCGTCTAGAGCGTAATACGCTGCCGACAGGCCTGATATACCGCCTCCTAGTATTACTGTCATTTCAGTACTTTAAGAGGAGTCCAACGGCTCTGATAAATAGTCGATGTCAGCGCAATGTTACGCGATTAAGTGCTAATGTATGTTAGCTTACGTGAAAAATCTACAAGTAATAATTTACAGTATTTTATTATATACAAACGATATTTATTATTATATATGAATAAAGAACAAATCTATTCGCAAAAGTAAAACAAATATGTGCTAAGTCATTTGCAGGATGACAATTTATAGGAACGTGACACGCGATGTAACTCGAATATTTTAATTCTGTTGGCTCCACTTTGGCGATGACATCGAAAGGATATTCGAAAGGACATTCGAAGCACGACGGGCGATTTATTTTTTCCAAAGCTTGAAAAGGCGCTCTCAAGATAGCAGGTTATGTTTTACAGGCGGAAACACGTGCGAGGTCCCAGCTGCGTCCAATCGTCCTTGCTCTTTAAAATTTCCTATTTTCCCTGACTCTAAATTAAATCTCCAAACGAATTACAGCCACTCTATCTCGAGTTACGTTCTACAGAGAAGATCACAGCAACGTAGGCACGTGAGAAGATTCGCGACATCGCATACTTTCGGACATATCCGGATACATCTAACAATCTCTAACTATTCCTGCCTGAATCCTGCATTATGTCGATTATGTTTCGCAGCTGGACGCTGGACGATGCTCGATGCTCCACGTTCGACAACGTTTTGATCGTCAGAAGCGTCTGGCGGACCGCAAAAAGCAAAGACTTTCTTCTTCTTTTGATAGATCGCGACGGATCTTCGACGTTCAAGGTCGTGATTTATCGAGGATTTATCAGATCCTCAGTACGAATTACGATGGATTTAGGATTATATTGTTCAAGGGATCTTATATGATTTGGGAATGAAAGAAATGAAGGCGAATAATTTTTTTTAACATCGAATTGATAAAAAAAAATGAGGAAAGGGCTAGATTTCCTCATTTCCTCGACTCGGATTCCAACGATCGTGACGCACCGAGTTGTATACGTTGTACCTAGACGAGTGCACATACGCGCGGAATTCAGCGTTCCTTTCCCCTTCCCGACGGGACTGACGACGGACGAACTGACGTCAGTCATGGTAGAAATACAAGTCGCTGATTGGCTGGGTTCGGAAATATGCGCAAGAGCATACCCTTGTATTTCTACCATGATCTCAGTCAGATAAATTTTAGTATCTTTTTACATATTATGTATTTATATTTTGCATTTATATAAATGGAAACCTGACATATAACAAAAATTTTTACATATATAATGACATTATATATGCGTTATTTTTGAGTTATATATGTGTTATATATGTGTTATGTATGCGTGTAACAAATGTATTATAAAATATTCGTAATGTCAGTATTTATAAATTGTAATCCCCCCATCCTCGTCCTATTACTCGTGTCCGAGCGTGGTGACTTCTCTTCATATACATGTGTTGCGCACGTAGATTATACACATTGTACATGGAACCTACAGTTTAACGCCGATTTCGAACGGCAATTTTTTAGAGAAGTTTTCATGGCAAGACATACTCTCGGTGGTTTGCCATTGCCTGCCGAGAGGAGAACGAGCGAATAAAATTTTCTAGCTCTACCGGGGAATCGAACCCGGGACCTTTGGCTCAGTAGACCAGTGCGCTGTCTACTAGGCCACGCTCGTCTCACATAAATTGTATATATTTCGTTGTAAAAAGATACTTATGGAATAAAGAGGGAAAATAGAACACGAATAAAGAATATTCCATAAAATTAATGTAATTTAATATTAATTGAAATACAAGTATTTCTACCATGACGGCTGCATTCGAGGAGCGCGCTATTAGCGCTATTGCATCATTCTGTCTTTATCGCTCATCAGGTGTAAAACAAGGATAGAACAAGCAAATAGCGCTAATAGCGCGCTCCCCGAATCCAGCCGACGTCAGTGACGTCGGTCGCCGTTTGGCAAAGTCAGTGCGAGCTCTGCAGTGCGCGTGCGGTGTGGTCGTGAGCTGGTGGAGGATCGAGGATCTCCACTCGCGACGGAGTGTGTGTGGTGGTCGCGGATCGACCCCGTTTTCCCGGAATCTCGCTGACGCTTTATTCCCGCTTCCCGCCTCGAGTGTTCTCGTCAATTTTCATCGCCCACGTCAGTCGGTCCAAGGAGCACGGAGCCCCTACGGAGGTCCCGTTTACGGACTCGCGCGAGTTTTCGGCAACGAGGACGAGGACGTGGACGGCGGGAACGGGGACGGCGGCAAGTGCGCGAGATGCACCGGCGTTAATCGGCGGGAAGGTCGCGTGCTGGTCCTGGCGTCGATGAGGCCGACGGGATAGAGCGAACGGAGAATCCAGCGGGTTACGTCGGCGATGCAGAACGGCGACAGCGAGAAGGCGTCGCGCGGCGTCGCGGAGCGCGACGACGAGGAGGCGACGAGTAGTAGCGACGGCGCCGTCGAGGAGGCGGTCGGGGATCGCGACGACGAGGCGTCGAGTCGCGACGGCGCCGTCGAGGAGGCCGTCGCGGATCGCGCGAACGACGACGAGGCCGCCGGGGTCGTCGAACGCGACGACGAGGATCCGAGCGGCGGCGACGCCGAGCAGGCCGCCGCCGCCGCCGGCGTGGATCGCGACGACAGGGATCGCAAGGACGCCCGGAAGCCCGTGAAGAAGGGAAACTGCGTGTGGACCATGTGTCTCCCGTCTACCTCGGGCAAGGAGACGCTCGTTGCGAACAATAACTACGGCTGCGAGCACTACAAGCGAAAATCGAAATTCGTGGTAAGCTTGGGGATGTGGCCCGTTGTTCTACGGCCAGCTTCGATTAGCAGAGTAGCTCGTAGAGTAAACTGATGATTTAGTTTGACAAATAAAACTATAAATATTATACAGTCTTAAAAATTGGCGTTTATCGGAGTATGATATGAAACATTAAACTTGTAGTTATTTTTTGATAGGGATGTTGTAATTTGAATGTCGAGTATCGTAGGTTGTTATAGGAGTATGATAATGAAACATTATCTAGCGTCATGGCTGTTATCGGAGTATGATATGAAACATTAAACTTCTTCTAGTTATTTTTAGATAGGGATGCTGTAATTTAAATGTCGAGTATCGTAGGTTCATGGCTGTTAATGAGTCTGATCTTAAGACTCATGATATATTTATTTTGCACATATGAAAAGCCTGATATAGGACGCTTTACTTCTTTTTAGATAGAGACGTAATTTAAATGTCGAGTAACTATTAATGAGTCTAATCTTGAGACTCATATATATTTATTTATTTTACATATAAGTTGTGTTAACATTCTTGTATAAATTAGAAATGTAATAGTAATGAAAAATGTATGCTTTGTTTCCTAATTAATTATTTTCCTTTTCAAATCTGATCTCTTTTACATGCTCTTGATTTTTTTTTCTCTTCATAGACTCCATGCTGCAACAAGGTGTATACCTGTCGGTTTTGTCACGACGAGCAAGAGACGCACACAGTGAATAGGAAAGAAGTGACAGAATTGATATGCGTTCTATGCGACACTCGTCAACCTGTCCAAGCTACCTGTCAGAATTGCCATTGTCAATTTGGCAAGTACACCTGCCTGGAGTGCAATCTCTTCGACGACGAGGATAAAAATCAATACCATTGCGACGGATGCGGAATATGTAGAGTCGGCGGCCGTGACAAGTTCTTTCATTGTGCCAAGTGCAACATGTGTTTGCCGATTCAGTTACAAAACGGGCATACGGTAAGGATACGATAATGCAAGATGCATGTTTTGTACGATAAAATGATTGTAATTGATGTATTCGGAACGCGCAAAGAAATAATTGAACCCTGTCGTTTACATTCTCAGTTTGCAATTATTATACACGGAATAAATTTTATTTTACAGTGCATAGAAAATGTCTCACATTCCAATTGTCCCGTGTGCCTGGAAGACATTCACACGAGTCGTATACCGTGTCACATTCCCGATTGTGGGCATTTGCTTCACCGTATGTGTTTTGAGGAATTACTGAACTCGGGACATTACGCCTGCCCGTCCTGTCAGGTGTCACTCTTAGACATGACGGACTTGTGGAAATACTTGGACGCCGAGGTATCGCTGACACCGATGCCGGAGGAATATAGCGACTGTAAAACCGATATCTTATGTAAAGACTGCCACGAGGTAAAAAATCTACTTCTTCATACATATATCCGAAATGCTGAGGCGTGAAAAATGATTGAGTGATATTAATGGCAAGATACCTGTTATTTCAGGAATCTACGGTAAAGTTTCACATCGTTGGATTGAAGTGCTTGAACTGTGGTAGCTACAACACCTGCAGGATAAAAGGCTCACCTTGTTCAGGTGACGATCAATTACTAATCGATTGATTTAACCCTCGTGGAACGATTATGTGAATTCTCGATAATTTGTGCAGATCCCGATGCCCTGAACGAAGCAGCTGGTATTACAGAAGAGAAGGAAGGATCGTAAAGCCAAAGTTCGGATAATATTATCCGATACTGTCCATCGATCGTGGAAGGAATATAGTAACGATGATAGGAGAGTATTTGTATTTTAGAATTTTATCTTTATTTCATCTTTTTGTAGCAAATTGCACTTTTGTTGCCTTTGTAGTACTTTTTGTTTAAGCCGAGGTAGTACAGTAAAAATTAAATATCTTGTTAAATGACCATTGATGTTATCAGAACTAATGCATAACCGTTTTCGGTTATTTTATATAATACGCTGTAGCACAATCTTCGAGGTTGAGTATGTAGATGATTTCAGTAACGTAAGTATTAACAAAATATTTCTGCAAACTTTATTAAATCACGAAGCAATGGTCGATGAAGTGGAAATATTTTGCAGATGTTCTTTTTCGCGTACATTTACGAGGATTATCGATTTTTATATTTTCAATGTTTTTATCTTATCGTTAGACAGGATATCCAGACTTATCGCGCAGTATTTCAGGCATATCAGGATTTGGAGTCGATATTTTCAACGAAAATATATTTTATTTTGTTGCAATTTTTCCATTTCCAACAATAAGTATTATAATTAAAGCTTCGTGTTCCTTCTTGCAGCTTAAAAGTAGCTGTAGTTACTGCAACATTTTTTATTAAAAAAATTTGAATTTTAAATTGCTCCATAAAGATTATCGACAAAAGTTCTGCGCGATAGATTTGGATATTCTGTATATATTTTCTGCGTCTGGCTACATTTATCTTCAGAATGACAACTGCATTAGCAGTTGACTACTAATTACGCCTAAGAAAATAATTAAAAAAATTGTGAAATGGCACGTGTGTAATGTGTATGTGTGTGTATACGTACGTGTGTTTAAGAGAAGATGGAGAAAAATAATACAATGTTTCGAAATTTTTCATATTAGGCAGTGTAGCACCGTGTCACCCTATCTTAAGTAAAACTACATACTCTGCATATTTATACGTTGCTGCAACACCAGTTTTCTCGTAAATATCTAACAAAATCCAGAAAAAATATCTAACGAAAGCAGTGGAAGATAATATATACATAGCATCTTTGCCAGATTAAAATGTAATGCTTGGTGGCCTAATTCATTGTACTTTAAATGACAGCACATTTTAAATGACAGCATAAGTCGATCGTGTAGAAACAAGAGTAAAGCCTTAAGACAAATTTCTGTTCGTTAATCGCTTGGAAGGTTCCAGCCTTATACATTCTGTTTTATTTAGGGAAAGATCTCATTTAGTCGTAATCTAGTCGCGGAATATTTGAGCGCGTATTGCTGCTCCTACTACGATTTTTCTCGTAAGTGTGAATGTTTTATACAAAACACAGGTGAATCCGCACGGGTGGCACACACTAATGCAAACAATAAAATATATCAACGTAGCGAATAATTAGGGAAAAGTTATACTTTTCGTTGAATAATGCTAAGATATATTACGTACATATGTACCGGTGCATTTCGATGTGCATATATTGAATTTGCATCTCTCCTGGGAGAAGCATTCTCTTAGCAGCTAATATATTCGCCTATTAATATATATAATCTGTTTTAGTGTAATTGTACACACATACATATAATATCTAGGTGGAATACTTGAATAATCACGGCATTAATCATGAATCTTGCTGTCACGTTTGATAAACAATTTCTAATTACCGAATAGCTATTGTCAGATATAGCTCACTTTATGATAAACAGTCTAAAAACGTTCGGCAGGCACGATTAAATTTTAAGCTCGGATTTGACGGTTTCGTAGGATTATTTAAAATGCTACAGGTCAAGTGTCGCTTGAAATGCAATTTTTCAAGATTTTGTTCCTGAGTAAGACAAATCGCGATACCGGTGACTTCAACCTTACCATTCCATTTATCATTCTATTTTAGTGAATATTAATGATATTTTAGCGAATTTTTAGTGATATTTTAGTGATATTATAGTGATATTTTTAATAAGCAATAAAATATTGAGCAGTCCTAAAAATCTCTGTAAGTTTCTTTTTTTATATTCATGTTATAAAAATGAAGCATACTTAGATGCGGAAGCATCGAAAATTTTTTAGGGTGCTCGATATTATATTGTTATGTTATATTAAATTGTTATAATTCCATACATCAGCGAACAGTGCAATTAATAATTGTCACATTCATTAATGTCGCTCTTCATATACATATGTTTTTAGGAATGATATTAATGGGTGCTATGACAATTGCATTTAATTGTATAACATTCCTAATTCCATTGAAGCAACTTTATTAAATGTTAAATGTTTACCTGTTTAGGATCCGTCAACAGATTAAAAGCATCTCGCATATTACGTGTCTAATCTGCATTAGAAAAACTTTGTGACGCAGAACGGTATACGTAGATTCCATTGTGATTATTATCACGATTTTATTATTCACTTGTAAATTAAATATGAATTACAAAGGCTCTTTGTACATAATGGTTGCAATAATGATTTTGTTTTATATTACGTATAATATATACTATTATATCAAATAAATCAATTATAATTTTATTTATTTAATCTTTCCCATATTTATATATATATATAAAATAAAAAGAGGATGACAAGAGTGGGTACGTACTTGCGCACGGAAAACGCGCGTGTTTCGCCAAGAGCGTATATTAATTTGTTGACATCCGCGTTTATGCGATTCGGGTATGTGCATTAAAATCTCACGATGAAACAGAAGCAGAACTGTTATATTTTATTGCGGGTTTTTGTTCTATGAAGGAATGATTTCCGTCTGCCAGAAATACCTCCCTAGAAATTCGCCTCTAGGTTGGTAACCGTATTAATGTCACGGGATAGACGCTGTTTATTTATTGCTTGTGTTTTAAACTTATATCTTCCGCGGTTTTTTTTTTTTTTTTTTTTTTTAAACTTCTCTTCCGTTTAATCAAATACGCAGACTGAAATCATTCTTCCACGGGACGGAGTTTACAGGGAAAGTAGTAAATAAAATTACAAAATTATATATAGTATCCTACTTCTTATTATCCCGTACGTGGACGCCAAAGATCTATTTTCGTATTACTTACACCTCCGGCGAGAACGGCGCGACGGAATTAAAGTCGATAAAGTGCAACAACCCCGTGATCCTGGATGAAAATTCGGTTGCACTGTGGCTTTCGTATATGTTACGTATAAGCGAATTCAACAAATTGCACTCGACGCGTCCAAAATTACCGACGATATCTACAACGACGCATAACTTCGTACAACGACGAGAAACTTTCAACTCTACGGTGCGCACACGGGTTGAACCTGGTCTCCTTTCTTTACACAGAATCAATTTATCAGTACTCTATCATTAGCACCTCTTCAGAAGTGGATCTAGAATTCTAGCTTGAGGAGGGAAACTAGCATGTTGGCTACATCTAAATACATTATATAAAAGATATATATGTATTATATGTATACTATGTGCTATATGTGTGTATATCAAGAGACACTGTAGTGTCTCGCGGCAAGTTCACGCGCAGCGCAAGATCGCCGTGATATATACATACATGTGCTATATACATATATATATTTATAAATATATCCAAAAAGAAATCACAAAATACAGAACAATTCTACAAAGTGACATAATGTTTAAATTTTGCAAATCGTGAAACAGCTACTTCTTCGCTCCATCTCCTACATCTGCTTTTATTGCATATATATATTCAGTTTTCTCGCAAGAGAAAGATAAATAATTTCCAATAGAAAGTATCAATCGTTCGAATAAATAATCTCCAACAAATGATAAATAATTTCCAATAGAAAGTGTCACACACACAATCGTTCGAATAAATAATCTATACTTTTTTTTTCGAAACGAATGCACGGTTAAAAATGCTAATTTTTAAAAGAAGATGTTTAAGAGACGGAGGAGAGAAGATATATGTATATGTTCATTTCCATGTTAGATCCACGTCTAATTCGGTTATCCCCGAGGATTAAGGAAAGAGTTATTACCATCATTTATTTCCGCTTTTTTTTCCAAGGTACCCTCTTTGTCACCCGCGCAGTGTAGAGTTAATCCACGCACATCGAGGTCAACCGATCGAATTCGTCGCTTAATTTACATCTCGAATTCATAGCGCGTGAAATAACCGATAGTGATCCGCGCGCCTTCCTGAAACGGAAGCGCCCTTACATCTTCATCTACGACTAGTTTAACGATTTCGTCTTTTGTACCACAAAGTGCGACCGCGAGCGCCGGTATTTTGCTTTTTACATTCCTTCCTCTTGTTCTCAGAAATTCAAAGAACGTGGGCGCAACGGCACATATCCATGATTGCTCAAGAAGCGTCGGGCGGCGCGGGTCATGTCAAGCTGGTCGCGGGTACGACCGCACGCCACTGTTATCCACTGCGCTTCCAATTGTGTCTACGAACAAGAGAGAAGAAATCTGATAATTGCGAGTCCACGCGCGCGCCAGCAATACATCTGTAGTAACCGTGTTGCAATGTTTAATTTAGTAGTACCCCGATAGGAAAAGGATGCAAATATTGTACAATAATTACGTCACGAAATGTGTGGAAAAATTTCACAATAATTGCATTAAGATAATTCGCCATAACGCAGCGGTTTTGTCAGAATAAAATTTATAAATATGATATTTGCCCAAGAATTGATAAATTCAGCTCACGTTTGGCCAATTCCGCGACAATTTTCGAATGCGAACAAATACGCAGACTTGTTTCATGGATATCCGACGAAAACCGATGGATTCTTTATTTAAAACTTTGCCATACTGATTACGTTAATATTTCATGTTATAACATTTAAAAATTACCAAATTTTATCCAGATTTCGTCATATAATCTTATAGAAATTTTCCTATCGGGGTAGAATATTCTACTTGGCAGCGTACGCAATCACAGACATAAAATTCAATATTCGCTGCGATATAAACATACAATATTAGACACAATTTACAGTTAGCCGCAATCAGTCAACTAATTGTCTCTGTAAATTAGATTTTAAAGCTCGATGAAATTAACGTTTATAAGTGCGCGACCTGCGTGAAAAAAGACAAAGTGTTAAACAAGGAACTCACCTTGGTGCGTTTTACCGGCCTGAGAGGCAGAGGGCTGAAGATACAATAAGGACTGTCGAATGCGTCAAACGTGATCGCTCTCTTGGCATTCGGCTTCCGTTGTTGTACGGACGTAAAGTCGTGAGGAGTCTGGAAAGGATAGACACACTAGCTACAGCCGGCAAATAAGAGATGTTCTTAGAAAAAAAAAACAATAGAATTGGCTTTATATTTCGAAGAGTGAATATAAGGAGTGCGAGAGAGGAAAAAGAAAGAGAGGAAAACGACTTGAGACTCGCAAATAATTGACGAAGAGAGACAGATCGAAGTATTTTTCGAGGATCAAGGAATTTGCAACGATACATCACGTTGTGTTCTCCTTTCTCGTTCAACGCCTTTTCCAGAGGAAGAGAGAAAGAGCAAAAAGAAAGAGAAGAAGACTGCCCACAATTTGTGGAATGACTAGGCTCTTAGGTGAGGGCGTAAAGGCTGATTTTGGGCAAGGATGACTTTTGTTTGTATATCGCTCCCTGTCTATGAGCTCAAGATTTCACATCTCGAGACACTTTCTCAACTCATCTAAGTAACTATAATTTAAGAATCTTGATTACTTTTACACCGAATTTTCTGAATTATACTGAACTTTTATATGATAAGGAAAGTGAAAGAAGATTTCTCTGAAATTTTTTTCCGAAGAAAGAAAAAAGAACTCGAAAAAGATAGATGGGAAAACTCGTGATACTTTAGTCAAGTTGAACAAATGTTCAAGTAAAAAGAAGAAAAAAAAAGAGACTAGGCCTTCACATTTTAGATTCGCGCACTAGGGTTGTTCTCGACTGGATATCCCGCATAAATATCTTTGGATTGGGAAAAGATTGAGGTACTTTGGTACGCTAGGCCAGGCCTGTATAAGGAAAACGATTTCAGTTAGTGTAATGCAATTTATTAGTTAGTGTATGCAATTAACATGCGACAACTCAATATATCATTAAAAAAAAAAGAAGAAAACAACTACATATAAATAATATAAATATTTACATATATATTATTTAAATATAAATATTAATAAAAATATTTAAAAAACATTACGCTCGTGCAGGGCTACATCGAGGATTCGTTTTAAAGGACGAAGATCTGACATGGAATGGATGTTAACATGTTGTTTAAAATGATAAAATTTACGTAGGATCGATTGTACGATACCCCTTTCTCATGCTACCGCCGCATATTTTGCAAGCACAACGTCATTAATATATTAGTCATTTGCGATTCATTGTCAGAATCCATTCTCAGCGAAGTTAAGACTGAAGCAAACAAAAACGAAACAAGATCGGTCACCTGCCGATTATATGTACAAGCTTACAACGAAATAATTAATAATTTAATTCATCGAGCAAAAGATATATAAAAAAAAATGACCACAATTTGCAAGACCAACAAATGTCTGTCACAAAGGTATGCGCATAAATAAATTTAAATGCTTTTTTCTATTGGTCACGATTAAATAACATGAACGTTTCCTCTCATTTTCGACGTATAAATTAATATTTATAGTTTTAAAATAATAAAATTAATAGTAATATTAAATAAATATAAATAATTAACGGCCAAGGTCTCGGCACTGGTATAAGTTTCAATAAATAGATCGAGTGACCTTAATGTTAGTTTATATACCTAAAATTAACAAGAATTAATAATCTTTGGATTGGGCAATATTAAGCGACGAAAGGAATACAAATAGCAGTAGAAGAAAAAAATAATAAAGAATTATCGATATCTTCTGCGCTAATTGGATTTTGTCCCTCAAATAATGAATAAGAAGCATTATATAAATGAGATGTGAAGATACAGGCAAAAAATTCAAGTACAAAGACATAGCGTTGAAAGAAAAGTTAGAAGGCCGGCTAGCGTGTCTAAGGACGATTGGTACGAGAATAATACCAGGATAGGGCGGGTTGATTATGAATTTGAATTTGATTTTGAGTACGTTGCTCTACCTTTGTAGGACTGGGTCCTGCCGTCAAAAAGCTATCTTCCAATGCCATAGATGCGGGTGAGAACAGTGTGGAAGTCTCCAAACTTTTACTCTACGATAAAAGATATATATTATTATCCGTTTGTCTCAAATTTCTCGAGATTTATGAGTGCGTTCAATGAACATAATAATTAGAATATCATTAAATTGCGGACGGCGTATATTTCTAGATTTATCAAGTGAGATGCATTTCGTAGAAGCTGATTACTTGTAACTTTCGTGTTCATTGAACGCAACGTGATTTGCCTCGAGCAATTGTTTGGCCAACATACTGGTGTTTCCACAAGGAAACTAATGTCGGAACTATCCTGAGATGCCCAAGCCTGACAAAGAGCCTTCCGCGCGCGCTTCCCTCCTGGAGCACTGTTCTCTTTACCGCGCCTTCGTATCATGCTGTTGTAGCCCGAATCTTCCTGAATCGTACTTGTTCCAGCCTCGTTTTCAACCTCCTGCTTTATTATTTCGGTCAGTGCGTCCAGGCGACTAGGAGTAGAGGGCAACTGTGCCGTTCCGCTTCGTCGTTCGAGCTCGGCAAGAGCGTTTTTGAACGGCGTTGGTGTTCTTGGTGTAATACCGTCTGTAAGAGTGAAAAAGAATCCTAAGAAAAATTTTTTATTTGTTTAAAATGTCCTACACATAAGCATTAGAGATTACGTGGACTAAGAAATAATAAATTTGCGAATTTACGATTCGTTTGAAACTCGTAGTGCGACACATACAAGTGTATCCTAAAAGGGGTGTACCATTTTGACTTCGTCGGAAACCGGTAGGCTGTGGAGTCGTAAGCGGGCCAGGACTGCTCGCCTTGGGCGTACTCGCGCGCGGCCACGACGTCTCCGACGGGCTCAGGCTGTTGAGGAATTGCGAAGGACTGAACGGAAGTTGTTTGATAGGAGTCGAGGGGGTGGTGTTTCCCGTTTGCACTTGTTGGCTCGTTATGATGTAATCCGACTGATTCCCGTTGTCGGAGATGTCTATCCTCTGCAGCAAACTGTGCGCGTTTTTGCGTCTGCGTAATATAGGTGGCTGACTCTTCTTCTCCACGTGCTGCTCGGGTATGTCTTCCAAGTCGGGCATCGGCATCAGCTTTATCTCCGAGCTCTTCGAACCGGATGTCTCGGTTGATATTTGTTGCAGGTTGAAATATCTACGCAGAAGAAAGAAAAAAGTTAAAGGCTGTCGGGAGATATATGGACATCACGTCGTTCGTTTCAAAGACAACATACTTGGGTACTAGCGAGGCTGTCTCGGCTTTGGCTCGCGAAGATTCCCTTTTCGACGGAGATGCACATTTCTCATCGTCGTGTGTATGCCTGTTTAGCTGTAGCGCGTGGTATCCCGCTGCAATGCTGTTCCCAACATGCTGTTCCCAATTTCTGATCCAATCAATAGACTCGAAGTTGAGAGTCTGCGAAGAGCTACCCGCCGTTGAACTGCTAGTCGAGGCCTTCATCTGACTCTGTTCATCTTCCAGAAGAAGCGGATCCCTTGCGGTAGTGCCTTGCGTATTTTTCCTCTTGCTTCTGCCTAAATACAGTAAGTTTCGTTCATTTCTCGCCGTGCTCTATCGAGTCTAACTGGTATCATAAACAGAATCATTACGTACAGTTCAACAACGAAGAACATATTTTACATTTATTAGGTTAAAATTTATATTGTTACGACATTACTGCATCAAAATTCGTAATCGCCCGTAAATAGTACCTTTGGTCGCAGTTCTTCCTTCTTCGCCTTCATATTTCCTTCTCATCGTACTATTCCAATGATTTTTAATAGCATTGTCAGTCCTGCCCGGCAAAAGCTTAGCGATCTTTGCCCATTGATTGCCGACCCTACGATGGGCCTCGACGATTACCTTATCCTCAGCCTCCGTCCATGCTGTTTTCTTTATCTCCGGATTCAAGTGATTGTGCCATCGTTCTCGACACTGTTTGCCAATCCGGCCTTTAAGATGCTTCGCTATCAACGTCCACTTTTTCGGGCCATATTTATCTACAAGTTCCACCACTTTCTCATCTTCCTGTAAAACAGAGAAGTTTATAAAATATAATAAAGAAATGTGTATTCAAATGAGATATCTTAAGAAAATATTTGGCAAGCAACAAAAAATTCGTACGCATTATTTACATTGCATTTAAATCGCTCTTTTTAATATAAAAATACAATATGCAAATCTTTTTAAAACTAATAAAATATTATTCGATAATAATTCGATAATGAAATAACTGAAATACGATTTAAGTCAGCGTTCTCCGGTCAAAAAATATAGTTTCAAAAAAGATGTTTCGCCCTGAACGTATCACATCCTCTACACATGTCTAATCGTAAATAATCTGATTTGTCAGAATGACACTCGATATATACGCAAGTATAAGGGGATACCGAGCAGGTATCTCGACCAAGGGATATCAGTGGGAAACGCCATAATCGCACGTACGCGTACGCGATTCGCGGAGTCGCGCTACTTGCCCTTGGCTGTTGCCAAGTGCATTGGCACGACGACGCAGCATCACCGCGACCCAAGCTTTTTCTTATTGCATATCCCACCGAGGCGAGCGCCAGACACGAGTGCCGGGATCCTTAATCTGTATGCGGTTCGCCTCGTGTAGGTGGTATGCGGCAGTGCCGTACAACGACGCTATGCTACCCAGCATTAAAAAAACTCGATTAAAACGTGATCGCCTCAGGACATCGATACGGTACTTGGTCGTCCCTAACAACGCGAGAAAAACATTCGGTTTCGGGAAACTCGGGTTCTTTTCGGAACTTTAATAACTTCTGTTCTGCGAAACGATTCAGTAATTCTTGAGTTGCATAAGAGAATCCAAGTCTGATTGTATTATACGCATGCATTCTATCGTACATATGTATTCAGGTGTAAGATTATCGAAGACCGATAAAAATTCGGGAAAGGTTTTTCGAGAATGATGAGGATCGGACGTTAGCGAAAGCTGCCCACCTCCTTCGTCCACGGGCCCTTGACCAGCTCCGGGTTCACGACCTTCGCCCATCTCTGTTGGCACTGTACGTCGCTCCGATCCGGGAACTGGCCAGCTATGATGTCCCATCGCAGACCAGTGCCTTGCTGTTCCGCGTTGCTCACTAGCTGTTTCAATAAAGCGTCCTGCAAAAAGAAAGATCAATGTGTAGGAAAGCGAGAAATATTTCGTTCCACCTTGCCCACGGTACATTTTATTCGCGCGCCTTAAATGCACGAAACGAGGAAGGACGGACGGACGGACGCATGGGAGATCGATCGACCCTCGTGGGCTTTCCCACGTGAAGCCGTGTAAGTGCACCCTATGTTCTATGGGGTAACCGAGGCATCTGCCTCCCGACACGACGACGCAACTCGCTGCAGAAAATACGAGGGGTGGACATTTTTTTGGGGGAAGAAGGGGGATCCGTATGTTCATTGTTTTCCCCCGTCCTCCTGTCCCTCAACTTGCTACATGGAAGCGATACATGTAACAATACGTGTGCCTGGCGTATAAAAAGGTACAGCCGGAATTGATATAAATTTAAAAGATCTGCCGGGAGAGTTTTCCGGACAGATAGCAAAATTCGCAAAAAAATTGATTTTATCGCGATTATTAAGATCCATTATTAAACATTAAAGTTTTTCTCGATGGATTGCTTGATTCTCGATAGACTGACTCAAAGATCCAGGTTCAATCCTTCCACATATGAAAAACTTTGTGTTGAAAAATATTATTCCACTTTTGAAGCAAAAATCAAAAACACATCTCAAAGTAAAAAACCGGGTAAATAAAATCGTGATACTACATCTTTTGCGAAGATCGAGAAGAAACAGAAAAAACTATTCTGAATATTCAGTATATAAATATTAGATAACGGAAAAGACGTATAACAAACTTACTTCTTCTTTGGTCCAACGTCCTTTATTTATGTGTTTCCCTTGTCCGTAATTGATGTTTGCGGGAATTTGATTAGACACTTGATTTTGTACTTGATTGCCCTGACTAGCCGGTGTGCTGTACTCGTTGTCGGACTCTCCACCGCTGCTAGAATCGTAACCAGATCGGGACCTGGAATGACAAGCAATAACATAGAAGTGAGATAACTCGTGTCAAAGTAAACACCGCAGGGAAACGCATGAATATTTTTTTCAGTATGAGTTTAAAAAATCATCTCTAGATACTCTCAATATTAACCGCAAGCCTCTTCGAGATTTCATTTGTTCTCATCGGGTACAGATAGCACAGCAACGTGGCACGTGTCAGGTTTTATTGCATACATTGATAAAAAAAAGATAAAAAGTACTCGATTTTTATAAACTTAGTATTAATAACGCAGGTAAAAAAGTATAGGAAGTCGGAGATTAGATTCCGTCAGCGTAATTTCCTATAAATATTGCTAATAATATGGTCCTATAGGGAAATGAGCGTCTTCCTTCCCGTAACGTTCGCTCATAATCACCCGAATCAGGACTCCACAATACAAAAGCCGAATACGGAAGCTTCAGTGAATATCTTCTATCTATCCGGGAAGTTAACGGTTGAGACGGGAAATCACGGATGGGTGAGTATCCTTCCTGTCCCACTACTCTTCCTCCCTTTTTCTTCTTCTTCGTCGCTCGACTTTTATCGTCGCCGCCCTCTCCTAATTTCGCCACCCTATCGCGATTCGGGAGGCAATTCTGACCGCGAAAACGCCGGTTTTTTGCGGTTACAAACGACCTGAGCCTCCCTCGCTCCGCGACTTCCCGTCACGTCTCGTACGCAGGTAATTGGAGCTCTTCCTTATTGGGCTTTTGCATCCTTCGCATACTTCCCCAACCACCCCCTCTCCAATCAAGAGTCCATCCTTTACTTTAACTTTACTTTTTTTACCATCCTTTTTTTTACCATCGGTGGAATGATCAAGTTATAAGAGACTAAAGGCGCACATACAATTTATTTAACTTCATTAAAAACCCGCCGTCGGCGTCGTCGCCATTTATTTTTGAAATAGCTTGTACTCAGTATTAATAACGTAGAAATTGGTAGAAAGTGGGAAATTAGATTTTATTAATGTAATTTCCTAAAATGTTGCTAATAACATCCTGCAAAAAAATGAACACGTTCCCTTCCTTAAAGATGAAATTTAAGTCAATATCTTGAGTTAACTAACATCTTATTTTTAACTACCATGTGTCAAAATTTATTATTTTAATACAAAACAGTATTATTTTAATTTCATTAATTCAGTTAAATTAACAATATATTGAGTATGAGTAGTGGCGACCTATATAGGAATGATTAAAAAAAACTCAAATTGAGTACAATTTGATACTATACGAATTTAATAGTGTGTTATTTACACAAGTATTAATTTTTCATCGTTTTACGTGTCAATTGTCAGAACTCTTTTGGAAACGGGATCGAAGATTCTCTAGGATCCTTCGGGAAAGCCAGAACCCAATTTCTCAATTACATCGACGATTAAATTCTGAATTGCAAAATTCTAATTTCTGTGAATTCCGGGGGTATGAATTTCACAGAGGTATAGGTCGCGCCGAATAACAATGCATCCGAGAACAGAAGGCAATGTCGAATGCTCCTCGGTACGTGCCGTGCAATCTGCTTCACCCTCGCTTTTTCCCCTTTCCCTCGCCCCTAAACAGCTGCATACGCCGGAGAGAGTCCGGGGTGAGCGACTGAAGATATAGTTAGCTTATGCAACGCGATAGCAACGCAGCACCCGCGGAACGTATGCGTGTGCCGTAAACATATGTGTGCTGCAGATGGCCCGGGGTTCCTATCGTCGCTTCATACATGCCGGGCGCCATCGATCGAGACGTCCTCGCCCTTAATGAACCCCTATTTCAATCAGGTTTATCATAAATATCGCAGAATAAAGGAAAAATGTCATATATTGACAAAGAAATTGACAAAAAACCTACAGGCATATTTTGCGCTTAAAAAATAAATTCTTCGTAGAAAATAATTTGTTAACTTTTACCGTATATATTTTTAAGTGGCAGGGTGATGCGCGTGATAATTTGTCGCGTGCGAAATATGGCGCGCGACTCCAAGGCGATTTATTTCAAGTCGCTACGCATTATATAGACGATACGAAAGATGAAGTTACGTCATCGCGAACGGTCTAGCACCATGGAATGCAAACAGGCTAAAACGACACCACTCCCGTTTGATTATACGTCCGAAGAAAGAGGCTCTCTTAATAACGACGCGGCTGCTTGGCACAACGAGCGCTAGCCCCTGAGTAATATTATAATTGCGTCGAGCAATAAAAAAAAACCTCGTTTTATCGAATGTACGTACATACCGATTAAAAAGCCAGTCGTCGTGTCAATAAATTGAGAACGTAAAAGCCGCAATCCACGAAACGATGAATCAAGTCAATTAAGATGTTAATCGTACGTTTCGACTAGTAATTATAGTTGATTTTTTAGATGATAAGTTTCGGTAGCGCCATGTCCTGCAACTTTTTATTAATCTGCAAAGAATACCGTCTCTCCGCAGGTGTACATATTATGTTTACAGCGATGCGAAGCAATGTTTCGAGAATACTTAAGAGTCTGAGAATACTTAAGTGTAAGGTGCACGTGAGAAGGTAAAGCGGAAATACCGCTGTAACGAAATGTATCAAGAAAGCATCGCAATATTCGCAATCGTCGTAATTTCTATCTGAATAATAATATTAAAGTCACAGTTATTTGTTTTGTATATTTTTGGAGCTTAATATAGACTTTTCCCAACTTCCTGCAGACTTCGCCATGGAATGACAAAAATTAATTTTGCAGGACGAGCATAAAATTAAAAACAAAGAAAAACCATGTGTAAGAATTTCTAAATTCACAGTTAAAAATAACGAAAACTGTGATATAAGAATTTCTTTAGATAAATCGACAGTTTTTCAGGAATAGACGTGAAAGTATCAGGAATTCTTATACACGTAACATTTACGATGTCCTCGCTATAGAGGAATTTGGGCACAGTTGTCACTAATTCTTGTTAATAAGAGAGATATCAAATTAGCACAAGAATTCCCGGAAAGTTACGTAAAGGTTCTCGTCTTCGCGGAACTCCTAACCGCCGCGCCTTCTTCGAATTTAAATCCTTCAGGCACGTGGCGTGTCTAAAAGGACCTCTTCCACATTCTTTATCATTCGCGAAAACACACCGGCTTAATCGCGGTCTCGAAATAGCGAACGGAAACGTCTTCTACCTGAAGAGATATAGTGGACGGATGGGATATTCTAATCAGATTCGAGAGAAATAAAAAGAAGGTAACCAATGAAAAAGTCCATATATTTGCATACGCAAAATAAAAATTTAATTTAAGTTAAATAACGTCGAATCTTTAAATATAATAAAATAATAATAAAATACAAATAAATTTTTAGATAATTAAAATACTCACATTTATCTAAAATTTTATACTGCGACGTGAAAAATTAGAATTTCTATGACTCGAATATAAAAGAATTTCGCGCAATGTCAGGTGTTGAAAAATTACCACACTAATCGGACAGCGAAAGCAGTTGGAAAATATTTATTCTTAAAGCCTGTTGTTATTGAAATGAGAAAATATATGGCAACACAAGAACACGACGATAAAGGGACATCCTTCGTCCTTCGATTATTTCGGCAAATTGTCAAATAAAATATTCGGGTAAATTTATCGGTGGTAGCTTTTACCCGAGAGGCGACAACAGAAGCAGGTGCCGCTAACAGCTGCTTACTTATCTATGAAGATGAACGGCGTGTCTCTTTTGTCACCGTGCAAAAATTTCCTTCTTCAACAGCTTTATAGCTCCGGTATACATAAAATACACGTGTACATAACCGTGTATATCACGACATGTGCAATAGGCTGTGAAAGTTAGCCTTTAACGCAATACAAATAATGAACAGGACATAAATTCGGCATCGGCTGTTGCACGCCGTCAATTTACGAGGCTCAGCGTTTATTCGTTCGTCAATAATAAATTTTTAGATAATACAATTCATATAATCATAATCAAACTAATAGAGCTTTTCACGATCCACGTATTCGCTTATTACAGAGAGATATATCGAGCCTCCAGAGAGATATAAGACTCTCCAAATGGGAGGGGGAGGAGCGAGGGGGTGCGGATGGACGTCGCTAAATTTCAGAGACAATAAAACGATATCGCGAGACCGGGCGATCTGACTTCTCGTGAGAACGGGAGAGAAAGCCCCGGGGCCGTGCGTGCCGTGGTATGGACATCTGCCAAAGTCCCGAGCTTTCCCCTCTTTTTTTTTCCATGCGCACTTCTTCCGTTCACGTTCAGCGCTCACGCGTTCATTTCGCCTTTACGACACACACACACCGGGCGCCCTTAGCTCCTCTTCCTTCTTTCCTTACTTCCTCCTCGCTTCCGCCTGTCGCGCGTCACGCAACAATAAGGTCATCGTGCAAGGCGTCCCTTCGTGCGCGTATGAAAAGTCCGTCGGCGGCGGCGGCGGCGACGGCAGCGGAGATCGGCGATTACGACTTGGCAAAACAAACTTCGCACGCGAAGCTGTAACGAAGTGTGCTGAAGTCATCGTTAATTAATGGATTTAATAAGCTAATTTTTCATATCGATTTCTTTATAGATATTCGGAGAGTGCTTTCTTGACATTGCTCTTGTACTAATAATTATAATGTTCCAGATAATAATCTCATACGAAGATCTCTAATTATACGTTAAATTTTCTGATGGAAAGTTCAGACATCTCCTTTGGCTTCACTCTTCGGGTTTTTACCGTTTCTTTCGTATACAAGCCAAGCTCCTGAGAGGACTCTTTATCGCGCGAAATATGAGATATCGGCATTCATACGTCTTATCGAGCGAACCGTGCGGAACTTTGCGCGCCGGTTACAACATCCCCGACGAACGTAACAGAAACGGGAATATTGGGTGATATTGGGTCAACGCAAATACAGATCCCGCCGCCGCCGCCGCCGCCGCGTTGGTCGCGTGCGACGCCCGCAACACAATTGATCCTTTCGTCAATTTTCTAGTGTCCGGGACCAGGTGTATGGGATCCAGGGAGCGTTCGTTCATGGCTGT